ACGGAAATTGTGTACATCTTCCGCGTACCGTAAACGAGTAGATGTGAATTTTACAGATACATGATATCATGGGAAATGACTCGTAAACGATTCCTTATATATACGTTCATGTTCGAGGATGTTTGTGTAGTTCGGTTGGCTGGAACTAGCGACGGGCAAATACTCGTTTACGTTCGTGAACATAATTCTGTTCCCACCGTTTCTGTCATATTTTGACAAAAATATAATAATTTACGATTTTATGTATGAATTCTTTACACCATGTTTATTCTTCCAAACGTTCAGTTTCGCTTCGTGGATACATAGATCCACGAGCAAACAAGTATTTTGCGTTTTATTTCGTCGCCACGGAGAGATAAAGGTTTCCCTTTTCAGGAGGCAGTTGAACCGTGTCCAGTTTAAATAGAATCGATAAATATGAGAATGAATTTCATGAAACGATAAAGGTGAATCATACTCTAGATAAGAAGTTGTTGTTTCAGTGTTTAAAGTCATCGAGCAGATACAGTGAGTCAGAAATGTACTGGCGCGTCTAGTTTCCTTGCAACATCTTCGTGAAAACAGATGATGTATTAGCAAATGTATGTTGTTTTCACAAACACAGTCCACCTGATATATACTGACGTATACTGAAGTTGTACAATGATGACACAAGAAATATAAAAATAAAAAAAGAAAATATTAACGCTTGTAATTCGAGTGGTTAATCTGCATTAGAAAAATCACGAAATATTCTTTTGTAAGTATTGGAATGTTGTCGAATGATATCGCGTCAACATTGTTTATCCACGGTAAAGTTGCAGATGTTCGAATTTTTATATTACTTCTATCATCATTATTGTACAACTCATAATTAGAAATTATTACTATACATTATTTTTGTATGTTATACTGTTTATGGGAATAGATCTTGTTTAATGTACTTGTTTCGTTCTCACAAAAAAAAAAAAAAAATCACAAGAGAACTAAATGTGCCAGTACTTTTTCTTGGCCCGGAAAATATATCGAGAAATATATAAAAAATAATATTTGAATAATTCTCCAAAAAAAATTATTGACCAAATCTATCTTCTAACAATGATACTCTTTTCCGTGCACGTTTGAAAATCAATCTCATCGTAATTAGAAATTCGTAACGCTCCTATTCGAAATTATAACATCGAAAGTTTATCAAGCACGGCCCCCTCGCTTACTCCCCCGGAAAATTGTTAGCGAACCGTCTTCTGCAATTACAAGCTGTGCCAGGTTATATAACGAGATTGTTAGGTTCCATCGCTAATCTATTATCTCACGTCAGATAAATGGCGCGCGTACACGATGTGATACCAGGCCATCGAAAGATGTTATCGAAGTCGACGTGCAAACTTGAACAAAACTTCTACTCACCGGTATTTCCGCGTAGAACAACTTCGTCAGGTCGCGTAGGATGGAAAGGGTTCTGCACTTTCGACGTTGTCTCGAGGTCGGGACGACAGGTTGTCGATAAACCACGGCCACTGCACCAGTCATGTCGATGGACACTTTGTATCGCGATGCGTTCGGCATTAAACGTTCTGCTCGTCTCGATTCCTCAACAACAACTACGTTTTGTTCGAATAACATAAATTATTACCGCGTGTGACACTGAAAAAAAAAAAAAAAAAAAAATGCGCTTGATTTTAAAATGTTATTCTCGGTCGTGGCTCGCTCTGTTTTATGTTCGAAGTTTCTCCCTCTGCTTTGTTAAATTGAAAGCGTGTAAATGTATTTCGTAAAAACAATGGGTTATTTATAATTTCATCGGCACGACGTCGGCATATTTATGTAGAAAATAACTGGATTCACAAACTGCGTACATTTATGCTATTGTTTTATTTAATTAATGTAAATTATGTACACATAAATTAAATATTAATTAATATTTTGCATTTCATGTTAATTAATATAAATTATGTATACGTAAATTGAATATATAAACTGTCATCCTGTCAATTAACATAAATTAATTATATAAATAGATTATTTCTATATTTAAATTTATTATTTCTGGATTTATAAGATAACTGACTCGCGGAGTAAGAGGAATTTCGAACGATGCATTGTAAAAGTGTTTCACACAGAATTGAAAATATTTACACGACTGCTTCGTTTATTATACCAATTCACTTTCCCCAAGAATCTTGAATTTATAAATAACTAGATCATTAATACGGCTACTGGTTCTTATTATGCAAATGGCGAACAAATAAATGGAAACTGTAGACAACGAAGAGAGCAATTCCTTCTAAAGACTTTTATTGATTTAGCAGATAAGAATTATCACTTTCTGGCATACTGTAAATTCCAACTTGTTTCTTTGTTCTTAATCTGTTTTCGTAAAAGTTGATCTCTAGAACATCCTTGAAATTATCAGGTATGAGCTTGAAACTACCTACTCAAAATATTTGGAATTAATTTTCAATAGAACGATAATCCACCTACATCTATTAGTGCCAAAACTTTCGACGATTGAAGCATAAAATTTTTTTATCGGTGACATTGAATTAAAAAAGAAAAAAAAATAGAAAGGCTTTATAATACGGCAAATTTATATACTTCACGAAGAATTATTTAAAAATACACTGTTTCACTGTCTATAGGCTGTATTTTTCTAACAAGAAACTACAAGTTGGTCATTTTGATCAGTCTGGTAGGTGTAGTGTTCAACGAAGAAATCATTTCGATCGCACTGTCCCCCGGTTCCCATGAGCCGCCAGAGGGGAGGAAGAAAAATGGAGGAGGGCATTTTCATGGGATGTAGGTCATCGATTCAAGAGTACGGAGGATATCCTGTCCATAGATCGGCAAAAGGGAGAGAAGAGAGGATGAAGGAGCGTAAAGTGCGTTTATGAATGAGGAATCCCGAGGACCTGACCTTCGGGTCCTGTGCACTTGCGTGCTGCCTCCGCCTTTGGCGACACCCCCTTCCGGTTCGATGATTTCACGGGGGTTGCGAGCGAGTGCCGTATGCCGCGGCAACTGTCGTCTTGAATTTTTCGGGGGCGGCGTGATTTACCTTCGCCGGTATTCCCGGCAGCTTTTACCATGAGAACGGAAAAATCCGTGACGAAATTTAATGCGCCGCGACTGCTCAGCGCCGCGCCGCGCCGCGCCGCGCCGGTACGCTCTCCTGGATAAATGTGAAATACAATCGTGTTTGTATGAAAATGTACGCAGTTGTCGGGGAGAAATTTCGAATCGCATAGCCATGGAAATGACGTCACGCGATGATATATTTACATGGATCTCTTTACGTGGAAGAGGCTTCCCGGGACGGGGGGATTTATTTCCGTAAATATGAAATTTTTATCCCCGCGACTTGAATTGTCGTGAAATGAGTTTAAAAAATGAGATGAGTTGTAGTTTCAACGTATCAGTCAATTTTCGAAGAGATTTTTCGTGACAATCTCGACGAAGAATTTTCGCCTCGATGAGTACGAATTCATTACTGGAATGAAAAATATCAAAGTCTTGGACAGATCATAATTCATTCTACTTCGTATCGTATTGTTGGTTGCTGAATTACAGCAGTGACGAAAGTTGACGAGTCAAGTTGAAGCAGCTGATGCAGCGAATAAATATTAAGAGTACGGGTAAAAATCGACAAACTAATAACGTTTTATTACGGGGATCTGTGTTGATGCTATCTCGCCCCGAGTCTTTAAAAATCTCGATAAAAGCAAGTACAAATGGCTGGAGGAGAATTATGATAATTGAGTACTTCCGTGTAATAAAAAAACTCCCTTCAAATGTATGACTAAAAAAATTGTAAGAATTATATAAATTATTACCACATGTTCGTAACAATTATGTATAAATCTTCATATTCAATAAGAATTCATTTAATCGATAATTTTTTTTTATTTAATTTCCACGATACTATTTTATTAACCGAGCAATATCTTTCGAAACACACAATACATGTTTCGCGTTGTCGCATCTCAATAACACGTAGGAAACGATCATCGCGATCAACGTATCCCATATTTTTTCTAGAAACCCCCTAGAGATCAGCGTGGAAACAGCGATCCTCAAACACGAACCCGTCGTTTCCACGTCCGTCAAGATTTGCCCGCAAAATGGATCCGTTCTCGTCCAACCCCTATCGTGACAATGCGTGCAAGCCTTTTCTTTTTTTTTTTTTTT